CGACGGCTTCCTGCGCCGGGCCCATTGCGCGCTCCTGCGCCTGCTCCTCGCGGACCCCGCCGCGGGCCCCTGGTGCCCGGGCGCGGGCGCGGCGGCCGCCGGCGGGGCCCCGCCGCCGCCGCCGCGCGCCCGTCCGAGGCCGCGGCGCGGCGGCCCCGCGCGGCGGCGGCGCGCGTCGCGCTGGACGCGGGCGCCGTCCTCGCGCGCGACGCAGACGAGCCAGACGCGGTGACGACGCGCTGGCTCGAGGCGCTCGAGGGCATCCGCCACCTCAAGACCAACTCCGGCAATCCGATCCGCGACGGCGTCCTCGTCGGCGGCGGCGCCACGGCCGCCCCCCCCCCGCGGCGCCACGCGCGCGCGCTCCCAGCGCGGCGCCGCCCGCAGGCGGCGCTCGAGATCACGACGAACGCGGCCGTGGCGCAGTTCCTGCGGCGGTGCCTCGCGTGGTGGCGTTGCAACGCCGCGGGGACGACGAAGCACGCCGCGCTACGGGTCCTCGACCTCGTGCGCGCGCACCGGCCAGGGCAGGAAAAGGGTGCGAAATTCCCAATTTCTCAAAGGCTCCTATCTCGGCCGGTTTCCACTCGTTTCGGCTGATTTTGGGACGAGCGATCATCCCTCTGAGCGCTCTCGAAGCATGCATACTTTTTCTGGAACGCGCGCGCGGAACACTCACGTTGAAGCGACATTGAATCACCCTTTTCCTGCCCAGGCACCGGCCCGCGCTCCTCGACGCTGACCGCTACCCGGCGGACGGCGGCGCGCTCGGGGCCGGCGCCGCGCCCGCGGCGCCGGCGCCGGCGCCCGGCGGCGCCGCGGCCGACGACGACGCCTGGGACTTCGACGCGGAGCCGTGCGGGCGGCGCGTGTCGCTCGGCGGCGACCGGGGGACGATCGCGGCGATGCGCGCGTCGCGCGCGAAGGTCCTCATCGACGCCGGCCCGCGGCGCGGTCCCGCGCGGCATCCGACGGGCAGTCCGGCGCGCGCCGGCCGGACGTCGAACGTCCCCGCGCGGCCGCGCCGACGGTCGCTCCGGTTCGTCCGCGGACGCGCGCGCGTCTCCCGTCGAGCCCCCCGCGGAGCGCGGGGGCGCTCGGGTCGGCGCCGGTCCGAAGCGTCGCGTCCCGCGCAGGCGCGGCCGCGTCGTCGTCGAGGCGCTCGGCGCGCTCGCGGGCGCGCGCGCCGCGGCCGGCGCGGCCGAGCGCTTCGCCGAGGCGCGGTCCCTCCACGCCGACGACGCCCCGCGGCCGGCGGCGCCGCCCCGGGGCCGCTGGGCCGCGTGCGCGTCCGCCGTCGCCGCGCGCCTCGCCGCGCACGACGACGCCGCGCGCGCGGCCGGCGGCCCCGGCGACGGCGGCGCGCCCGACGCCGCGGCCGCGCGCGACCGGGCCGTCGGCGACGTCTACCACGGGCTCGCCGAGCCCCTGGCCTGGGCCGACGGCGACGCCGTCGACCCGCTCGCGGCCGCGACGGACAAGCTCCGCTGCGGCGGCGCGTACGGCTGCCTCGCCGCGGCCGAGCGCGCGGCGCTCCTCGGCGCGCTGGCCCGCGGGGCCGCGCGCGCGGCCGCGGTCGCGGCCGCCTGCGACGCGCGCG